AAACACAATAGCAATTTTAAATATTACCTGTTTGTAGTTTTTGTTTTACTAATAGCTTCTGCATGATGTTTATACCATTCTTCTAATTCTTTTTTTGCAGCTTCCCTCCACTCGTCTTTCTTCTCTTCTTCTTCTGCATCTAATTAAATTATGTAGAAAATATAAAATAACAATCAAATAATAATAATTTAAGAGTGCAAGGTTAGTTCATTATTACATTTCTATGCATACGATTATATTGTACTGACTACATTTTGTTTGTGAAAGAATAGGTCATTACATAAATACTTTGTTATGTTCATGTCTTATCTACCTATAAAAAATAGAAATACCTTTTTCCTCTAATCTAGCTTTTTGCTCTTCCCTCCATTTCCGTATTTTTTCAGGTTCTTCTTTTACAGGTAGAGGCTTGGGTGCAGCTTCTAGAAATGACTTTTGTTTAAAATCTGTGCTCACTGTTCCATAATAAATTATAAACGATCTTTCTTTTTTATGCAATACAATACAGTTTACCTATTACTGATAATGTTTGTGTTTCTGAAGGTTGTCCAATTCCATCTATTATTTCAAAACTACCTTCAGCATCACCACCTGGACCAACTTAAAAATTTTCAATATTTATAAATAAGAGCATGTAATGTTACTATTTTATTATCTGCAAAAATTAAATTTCATACTATATTTAACAATTATTAATTACCATCTGTATTAGAAGCTATTGTGGGAGCAGACATAGAAACTGGTGGAATTTCATTTTCAAGCCCTGCCAATTGGTCTTGTTCTCTTGCTACAAATTCTGCCACTGGATCTACTTCTTGTTCATTAACAAAGTTATCACCAAATGCATCCATATTGTCTAATAAGAACATCAAACAAATTAAGAAATTTTAAACAAATTAATATAAAAAATGTAAATATAATGCAGAATATAATAAACAAAAGTATACTATACATTTTTTACAATTTTATAAGCATTAATTTACTGAAATTGTTACATTTACATTTTTATATATACCTTGAAAAATTATTGTATCTTTATTATTCAACATTGGGATAGTCAGCTTTAAGAAAAGGAAAAGACATTGTGATGTGATTTCTTTTAAATTCAATCTCTTATGTTAATATGTTTTGCTTGTATTTTATCTTGATATAGGATTCACTTTCAAATCAATGTAAGGTATTTCATTATATATATTATAGGTTAAATTAAAATATTATGGACAGCTTTAAGTTTGTTATTTAAATGGTATAACTAAAGTAACCTAAAAAATATATTTATTTAAGATAACATGGTTGTTTAAGATATTGAAAATATTCAAAGGAATAATATGCAAAGTAGGAAAAAACGTTTATTTAATTCTAACAAATATAAAAAATACTGAATTAAGTATTGTACCTCAATAATATTATGGAATGTCCAAACTTTTATCTCAGGAAACACCCCCAACTATCGTTTTCCTTGATTCTTATTAAATATCAACTGCAAATTGTCAACGTCAATACCAGTTAGAGTCCAACGCACACATGCGCACGATTAAACGTAGTAGTTATGTAGAGAAATCAGGACTACCAACATTTTGTGAATATTATAAATATGTTTATGAACTCTAAAATTCAACTAGTTTCTAAGTTAAAATAAAGTATGGTAAATCATAAATAAGCATATATATAAAAGTAACAACATGTTTTAACACATGTGAAAGTACATACACAATTTATTTTTCGTAGTAATTTGGATTTATATGTTCATCATATTTTTTAAAATATTGTACAACTATTCTATAAAATATAGTTTTTATAATTTTATGAGTAATTATAATTCGAAAATTTGGAATTTTAATTGTAACTGAATAAAATTATAAAAAATAATTTTATATATATCTTTTAAACTTTTTTTAAAACCGTTTAGAAAATATTTTTATGAAAAATAAAAACCTACATATGGATACTTGTATATGAAACATCATGAAATATACTGTATAAGTTTTACAAGAATATACCAAAATGGTTGTAAAAAAAAACTGTAGTCTAGATAGCATGAACTATGAAATGTCAACATACTAAACAAAGAAAAGTGATTTAGAAATCACTTTCAGTTAAACCATAATTTATAAAAATTGTAAATTTTATATACGTAAAATATCCTAAATAAATAATTACACACATTGTAAAAATAAATGTCGCAATCATTTTAACACATAGAAGTGTTTCCATCACAATAATGTGTATTTTTAGTACAATGTCAATAATAAATACAGTTATTATTCTTACACTTCCTATTATTTTATGACAGATCACTGGCAACAAAATTTAGGCATGTATGTAGAGCAAGTGTTCTGTGTTAACAATCGTCTAAAAAATGCGTACAAAAATACAATTCCTAAATAACATAATTTAGAGCTTCATTCGTTAATATAATGACGGAGCTCTAAAAACAGTTATTAAAATTAACCTACAACCTATTGTAAGTATAGGTAGTGGTAAAATATGAAAAGTAAAATCAGTATGTTTGCCCAGGCGAAACATAGAGACCAAACATGCTAATAGGAGTAACTCGTACATTTCATTTGTGAAACAATAGGTCAGTCTTGCCCTAATCCCCTCCTTGTCTTTTAAAACATGGGATTTACAATGGGAGGTTCGTTATCTCCAAATATGTATAAATATATAGATTCTTCTATTTTTTCTCAATGTCTGTTAAATACTAGGCATTTTCTTCTTCATCTTCAGAGGTCAGCGTTACGTTATCAACACGTCGTGGCAATAACAATGCTACATGTCCATATCTAAATAAAAATATATTTAATATTCAGTTCAACTCGTGAAGAAGTAAACTTATTTGAATACAGAATGCTTGAACTTACTTGCTGCTTTTATATTTTTCTTGTATGGCTTGTTGTTGAGTATTTAATGCATTGCAGAATGTCTTATGTAAACACATAATGCATTCTTTAAGATCCTTCAAACTGTATCCCGTCGACAATTCTAACTCATGCGGCCATATTTCTTCTTGTAGCGTATGTCGTGCAAGTGCTACGGCAGATGCAGCTAAATGACTAGGTAAAAATTGTAGATATGGATCCCCTTCAAGCATTGACAATTCACAAAGATACTGCAAAATTTTTTC